CCTATATGACTAACGTATCAGATTTGTTGGATATTTGAATATATAGTATGTGGCTTCAATTATGTGAGAATTTCTAAGTGTTGTGAGAAACATATGAAGCAAAGTTTCTGCCCTTCTGAACCACAAAACTGCAGAGAGAGAATATCTAATCTACCTTCAGTCATCATGGGTTATTCTCCTTATTCTTACAGATTATTTATATCCTGCCATTTTACTTGGAAGCTCCCCAGCCTTTACTTTTGGTGATCTCTTGCCACTTTACCCAGTTCAAACATGGGCCATTCTGTGACGCTTTCCTGTAAAAGCTCTTACCTCTCCCACATTCATTTGTGTATAGACACAGGTGCACATTATGCATACATTTAATTTTTACTAAGAGTATAATATGAGTGTATTATATTCCTGAAATATATTACAATATTCCCTTATTAACTATCAACTTCTCATTAGGTGTAGCTGTCTGATTTGCTTTGTTTTGTCCTGGCTCTATGGCATGAATGAAATAGAGCTCTCTAAGGCCAATTTATGTGCCTAGATCTGAACTCTGAATGATTGGTTCAGATAATATATAAGTACATCTGGAAATTAATGAACGATAATGTTCTGGTTTTTGTATATTAGTAACGTAATTAAAATTCTTTTACTTTCAAGAGATTTTTGATATAGGATACATGTGCTCACCAGAGAGACAGAGACAGAAAGTGAGAAATTGCCCCCCACGGGGATGGCCACACCTCAGTCCCCCTCCTCCAAACTCCTGTTGGGAATTTGGACACACGCATGCACACACACACCCAGAGTGAGTTTCAAACTGCTGGGTCCAGGACTCAGACCATGATCATCCATGTAGGAGTGCAGTGCCTTAACCACTGTGCCACCTTCTGGCCCTCACTAAAATTCTTTTAAATAGATCATATACATTATCTCACTGATAAATCTTAATACCTGACTTTTTAATCCACTTTCATTAATATTAGAATTTAGATATTTTTGTAGTTTTACTTGTCTATTTTAAGCCCAACTTATGACTTGCCCAGTAGAATCATTCGAACTTAAAACTGGGCTTGAGAGGGGGAAAAAGGATCACACTCTATAAAAAGCTTCTTAAGTACTGTTACATGGTTTAGGATTTGTGGAATCTGCATTAATAGCTTAACATATGGCCTCAGTTTTATTCATCCTACGTATGCTACTTAAGTCCATTTTCATATTTTTAATTACTTTTTTAGCCTTGTATTCCTAAAATAACTCTTTAATTAAAAACATATATATACTTGAAATTAGATGTGTTGGAAAATAGCATGATGATTATGTATAAATATTTGTATTATTATGTAGTAGACATTTATGTTATTAATTCACTGCAGTACCAACTGGCAGTGTTGGAGATTTGTCAATGGTTGCTGAAACTTCTGATGGTTACTTCAGTGATTTCTCTAATTTTTTTTTTTCAGCCAGGTCTCTTAAACTGCAGTAATCCATTCACGCAGCTGGAGAGGACACATCAAGAGCATGCCAGACACATTTCCTTGGGTGGTAACCTTATTACCTTTTCACCTTTAAGACCCCTCGCTGAAAAACAAGCAGAAGAATACTGAATTTAAAAATAAATCTAAACATTTTTCTTCATGTTATCAATGCTGTCATATATTCTTAGAGTTCTAGAAATTTGGAGAATACGTGCTTAGGTTCACTTCTATTCAATCCATATATATAGTGTCATATAATGTTTTAATATTCAGTGTTTATCAAAGTGTATTTTAGATATGATACTGTTTCTCAAGGGAAGTAGGGATATTGTGCACATTAATGATGCAGAATAAAAGATATACTGTGCCTTGCTCTCTTGTTTAAAATGCATAAACTTAAAGCTAAGTATACACACTTAAGCTTATAAACATTCTTCGTTTAATTGAAATATATTCAACTTTGACAGAAATGTTTGCATCCTTTAATACTTTATTCCTGGTTTTAATTCCTAAATTTGTTGATGTCAAACAGCTTTTGGTAGTACATTTTTTCAGGATATACTGAGTTTCTTTAGATGAGCTGTCTGGATCCAAAAGTTATTTTATAGGCTGCAATTTCAAATGGCTAAGTTACTAGATGCGATCTTTAAACCCTTGCCTTTTTCTTTACATTTTCTCTATGACATGGCCAACAATCTTGCTGAATGCCTTTTTCTCTTGAAGAGAATCATATCAGCCACAAAATGTGTCTGAAATATTGATAGTTTCTCTTTTGTAAACAACTGTTACCTATAGGATGGTAGAAGACAGAATCATAGGATTAGCCGAGCACCAAGAAGACTTAGTAGCTAAAGCTTGTAACCAAATCTGGGTCCACTTGTTTCTGTTTGAAAATGAGTTGTGAGTTAGAGGCATTCATCAAACAAGCAAGAACTTTATAGATAACCCTTTGAAATTATAGAGGTTTTCAAAGAAGAAAAGAACTCATCTACTTTTGTTGTCAGAGGAAGATGTGTTAGACTTATAAGAAAGATGGTATTTATTGTCAAGCCCACATGAGCCATCTGGCTTAGAAGAATGGTCTCAGAATGCTTAATTTTACCCAAAGATGAAAATAGCTTTTGGTTTATTTATTTTTAATTTTTCTTTTAATGCTATAGGGTAAATGAATGTGCCAGAGAGAAAAAGATGCACCCTTCCCCCTTCCTAACTGCCCCCCCCACACACACACACACACCCCGCAGTCTCCTGTATTCTATTCCATCAGTGGTTTTCAAGCTTCTGGGGCTGAGATTTGAACCAGGGTCGGCCATGTGGAATCTGGCTCTCTATATACTGTGCTCAATCACTGCTGGAAGTAGCTTTAATAGCTCATTAATGAATAATTCAAACCAGTCATGCAGAAAAAAAGAACTATACATAAAACTTTGGGCTTTCTAAGGGCTCAAGGACATGAATTCTTTTTTTTTTTTTATAAGAGAGATTTTTGCTATAGGGTACGTGCACTCACCAGAGAGACAGAAAGTGAGAAATCACCCCCTCTCCCCCAGGGGATGGTCATACCACAATCCCTTCTCCTTTATTCTCCTCGTAGGATTTTGGGTACACACACACATGCACTCTACGTGAATTTTAAGTCACTGAGTCTGTGACTCAACCACTGTTGACTATGTGGGAGTCCAGTGGTGTAACCATCTGCTGTTTATGCCATCTACTGACCCAGCCATGAATTCTAAAAAGGCATGTACAGAGTAACCCAGTACTTACAGTCTATATATGGCAATATGCAACATGACAACAAACAACATTTGCCCCCAGGACAGAGCACACGTAGTAAGACAATGCCAGTAAACGTAATTGTGGGGATTAGGAGGGATAGGTTTCATTAGTGTACTACTGATGGCATTGTAAAAATAAGAAGATAAAATTATATTTAGGTCTCCTCTAAGATGAAGTGGTATGACACATCCTAGTTTTCAAATGTTATTAATCTTTGGATTTGCTGATAACATGGAGGTAGAAATGCATGGTTAATGTCAACAATGGAATAACTAAATTTTGAAAGTTATGTGTTTAATTAGGATACTACTTTTTTCCCTTTACAAATCTAATGATTTTTTTAAAAAGCAAGAGACTCTATAGGGAAATAGTCATGTAAACTGATATCAAATACCGATTTGAAAGCAGTGAATATAGTTTAGAGAGATAAAGGATTAAAAAGGAATCGCTATGGTTTGAACATTTCCCTCTCAAATTCATGGGTCAAGACTTAATTGTGGTGGGATTGAGAGGGTATAAACTTAATCCAACTTTGGTGTTGAAAGGTCATTGGGACAGAGCCCTTGTGCTTGTTGCCATGTGATAGCACAAGACCCTCATCAGATCTGACCCTTAGAACTTAGACCTCCAACCTCTGAGCTCAATAAATCTCGATTAAGTCTCCAGACTCAGCTATTTTTTGTGAGCAATAGAGCAGCAATTAAAAGGAATATACCAAAATGCTAACAGTAACTGTCTATGAGCCATAGGTCATCTATGAGTCAACTTTTTTATTTTTCTCATTTTCTGAATATGTTATATTTCCTTAAGTAAGAAAATGAGGATATGATTTCCTGATAGCATCTCCTTGTTTCTATGAAACTCTAGAAGGGAAAGTAGTATTTTAGGATAATATTTACTTTCTCTTTTCTTAAAAAATACTTAAGAAGACTTTGGGAGAACCTAATGTACTTTTTGTTTGGTTGGTTGTTTTAGTTTTTTTTGCTGTAGGGTAGAAATATACATTAAAAATTAGGATTTTAGGGTTTTTCTGGCACTTGCCAGAGAGAGAGAGAGAGAGAGAGGGAAGGAGGGAAGGAAAGTGAGAAGTCAGCCCCAGGGTGGAATGGCCATATCATAATCACTCTCCTCCAGGATTCTGGGCATGCACATACATAGACCTGGCATGATTTTCAAGCCTACAGGTCCAAGACTCAAACCACATAGCCAGCCATGTGGGATCTAGCACCCTATCCTCCTAGCCTCCACCTGCTGGCCCCCTTCTGCAGTTTTAATACTGTTATATATTTATTTTTCCATTGTGTATTATCTAGAATAAACTCCAATTAAATGACATTAAAAAAAAGAAACCACAGGTACCTCAGCATAAGAATATTTATTACATGGATGACTTATAAGAAAGATATTGAATAAATGTAGAATTTTTCACTCATAGTGAACATGAAGCTCTGTAAGTTTTAGATTAAATTTTATTTCTTAAAAAAGTATCTGCTCTTTTCAGATTATATCATAGTGTATGAAGCACTGGTGAGGTCTATGTCACCAGAAATTCCCAGTTGGTTGATTTCCTTGAGATTTTTCATCCGGTGATTGTACTGCAACAAGTGAGCGTCGTTGACTGCAACCTTGAAGTGGTCGGGTTCAACCAGTACTTGTATCTGTAATAGCACAAACACAAACTGTCATGTGAGCCATCGCACAGTAAGTTCAGTCGGTCTAGCCATTTCACAACGTACACGTATTTCAAAACATCCATGTACACAGTGGATATAGTCATGTGCCACATAACAACATTTTGATCAATGATGAGCCGAATGCACGATAGTGGGCCCAATTAGATATAATCTATACCCTGTAGCCTAGTGTGAAGTAGGCTGTGCTAGCTCGGCCTCTAAGTTTGCTCTATGACATTCTCACAGTGCTGAAGTCACCTGATGCCGTTTCTCAAAACGTACATCCATTGCTAAGTGATGCATGCCTGTGTGTACAGCTTTTATCTGTCAGTTCAAATCAATGAGAAAGGGGTGTGGGGTGCCATTAGTTTTAAACCAGTCTGGCCTGAGCTCAGGATGTCCCATATTTCATCTTTATCATCATTTCTGGAACTGATTAAGAGCCAGAGAAAGAACTTTACAGCAAAAATAAACTCCAGGTTATTTCAAGATTTAAACAAAAGACAAAATAACAGAATTATCAGAAAGATACCTAACTGAAGTTCTAAAAGAAAGGTTAATAATTTGCCTATATAAAAACTTAAGTCTTGTGTATGGCCTAGAATGCCTAAAAGTATAGTAAAAGTAAAAAACTAAAATGTTTATCCCATGGAGTGCAAATGTTATGAAGACTGGTAATAATCAGTTTTGGTGGGGGTATGGAAAACACTTCCAACAACTTTACATTTTTTTGAAACAGCAGTTTGGCAATATCTGAATTTTATCATCACATATACTCAAATAAAATTATTCATCTAGGAAGCAAAGATTTATAAGGATAGTTATCATAGTATTTTTGTAAAATAAGTAAATCTTACTACATTTATTTGTTTGAAGTATTTCTGTACTCTAAATTTTCATCAGTAAGAAACTAGTTAAATAATCACATATCTAAACAATAAATAATCTAAACATCCCCATACTGTTAATTACCAGTGTTCTGTTAGGGAAAGATTCCACCAAATGTAGAATATGGACCGTATTTGTCCCTGCCTCTGAGGAGCTAATAGAGAGTCTCATTGACAATAGTCTACCCTAACTCATTGTTGTGCACCTAATAATATTGTTGAAGCAGTGCTATTCATCAAATTGCAAACTTTGTGAGGATGAGAGAAGGGGTAAAGAAAAGACTTTTGGGGCCCAACAGGTGGCATGAGGTTAAGGCAGATGGATCCCATATGGCCAGCTGCATGGTTTGAGTCCTGGACCTAGTGGCCTGAAAAACACACCAGGCATGTGTGTGAGTATGTCCAAGATCCTGAGAAAATGGAGGAGAAAGGATTGTGACAAGGCTATTCCTGTCTAGGGGGTGATTTCTCACTCGCTCTCTCTCTATGGTGAGAGCATGCACCGTATAGCAAATTTTAAAAATAAAAAGACTTTAAAAATTTATAAATTTTACATAAATACGTTAATTTTATCATTTAAAAATTTTTTAGCTTTAGTGACTATGCCAGCTATACTGTCTCAAGAAACTCTAAGATTCAGACCTACTGTACCTTAATGACTTAGTGCCTTGTTTCATTAAAGATGCAATTTTTTTAATTTCTAGAAAAGCTTAAATTCAGAGGGGTGATAAGAGTGATGATGCCGAGGTCCCTGAAAGGAACTGGAGAGTGTGTTACTCCTGACCATGGCTTCAGCCTGCTAAACCTAGTCCCCTGGGCTAGGGAGGAGAGGTGCTGGTTAGGTGCCCAGGACAGGTGATCAAAATCCACTTCGAGTGTGTAGTGGTTTTAGAGTGATTCCCCCTGAGACATACACATTATCAACATGTAGTAGTAGCAGGAACTCACTTTGAATGGTTTCCCACTTTCAAAGGGGAAAACCATCTGTCTTTCTTCCTTCCCCCAGACGGTGTCCTTTTTCGTGTTGCACACAATGACTCTCCTGTTGTCCTCATTGAAGCGGGGGTTAAAGTGGAAGGCAACATCATTTCCTGTCTTGAAATCTAAAGCAAGTCTGTTTAAACCAAAGACCAGAATTATTAAGATGACTAAAGTTGTACTTTATATAAAGAACATACAGTTTTCTAAAAAGCAAATCAGTTAATAATATAGAGGAAAATTGTATGAATTTTATGAAAGCGAATAAACCAGAGAATGGGGTCAAACTACAAACTACTATATTAGACCAATATCCTATGGCCTGCCATAAAATCTAAGGGTAACCAAGATATTATGTTGGGGTTTTTTTGCCTGTTTTTGATTATATTATTCCTGTTCAACTAGAATGCTCTCTTTATAGACTCATGAAAATCCTTCAAGGTTTCCCTGTAGAGGTTTAGATCTACTTTGAGGACATTTTATGCCCTGCTATAGTCAATAATAGTTATCTCTTTCCTGCTCTGCAAGGTTACTTTTAATGCCAGGTAATAGCAAGCTAGCTACATAAATCTGAGCTCTCAAATACCTGGCTCCTTCGTGGTCAAGCAGAAACAGTTCCTCTAAAACAGCCAGAACAAGATAACACCGTGAATGTTCAGTATCCCGTTGCTAAAGTGATGACGATTAAAGTGCTTAAGCATTCCATGGTGTGAGGTGGAACTAATGAAAGTGCTACTTGAGCTTTTGGACCCTGTTCCTTCTCCCTGGATGTCAGTGTAAACACAAGTCCTCTGACCAACACGGTTCCTGAGTGTGTGCAAGTGTGCTCCCCAGAGCACTGACACCAGAATCTGCTGGTGTTCTTGAGTTAAGGCAAGGTCTGCACTCCAGACCAACCAATAAGGATTCTCTGGGTATTATCTTTTGATTCGTCCTCCAGTTAGTCACATTCGACCACAAATACATCTTCCAACAATTAAATTCATGGGAAAATGGCAATAGAATTTGTATTTGACTAAATATCCAATGGCCACATTTCCTCTGCTGTGAAAAAGAAGAAACTTTGTCACCTCAAGCACTGTTTTTCGCTGTGCAATTCCTTATATAGAATTTGCAGGACCAAGCAATACTTTCAGTTTATGACTATAAACCATTTCAACCAGAATTAATTGTTATTTGTCACAATCTCAGTTTTATCTTTAGTGTTGTTGAAACTAAACTTTCCAACTCAATGACACTACAAAAGGCTAGGATACTCGTGTGGGGCTGTGTGTTAGGGGCTGAGAGAGGAGGAAAGCAAAACAGCCAGTCAGGAATGCTGTGTGTGCAGGGTAAGTGTGCTGGGTTCTGTTATGTTGGGAGGAAGCGTGGATAAGGACACAGGCAGAGGATACTTGGATGTATTTTTTTTTTTTTGGAGAGATTTTCACTGTAGGGCGCGTGCGCTCGCCAGACAGACAGAGACATAGAGACAGAAAGCGAGAAATCACCCCCCAGGGGGGATGGTCACGCCGCAATCCCTTCTCCTCCATTCTCCTCTCGGGATCTTGGGCACGCACGCACACGCGCCCGGCGTGAGTTTTAAGCCACCGGGTCCGGGACACGAACCGCGGTCGACTACATGGGAGTCCAGCAACACAGCCATTACTCTAACTGCTGGTTCCCACGTGGATGTATTTTTAATGTGCTGTCAGACAGACCTCATTGTGCAGGGCAGTAGTCTGTTTAGAGAAGCGGTCTAGGCTGTGAGGAAAGGTTTGGTTTAGGGGAGTGACTATCTACACCAGAACCAGAGGAGGCTGACTGGAGGTGGAATGAAGGGACCATTTGAATGTAAAATTTTCCCATCAGAAGCTGATTCCATCTCCTGGTGACAGGATGTGACTCCCATTGATTGACCAAGAACAAAGTGACAAACACAGAGACTGTTTATGAATTCTTGATTTTGTACTTTTAGTGTACTGTTTATAAGACTCTCAGAGACACCATTTTATTAATGGCCCTGGGAGCTTTAGTGGTCCCACTAACCTCAGGGACAAATACTCTGGATGGCTTCAGACATTCTCAACTCCTTTGTACAATATGTGAGTATAGCCAAGGGTGATGACCAGGACTGGGCATCCCACAGCAGCCATAAATCAGCATGGGTTTTCCTAAATCCGTTCAATAAAATCTTATTTCATCCTAACCTACCTCAGTCAAGCTATTTCCATTGGCAAAAGCTGATTTATTTGATAAATCTTGTTGAATCTTTTCAGACCCTTTAGGTAAACAGTATCTACCGAGAAGATTCCCACGTCTGACACTTAGGTAGAACCTGAGCCTCAGTTCTACCTATAAAAGGAGGATAGCAGGCCCAGCCCATGGTAGTAGTGCTGGTAGACATTGCTACTTCACAGGCCGAGGCCACACGTTGGGCCAGGTTTGATTCCCCGTCCACCCTAAAGCCAGGCACAGGAGCGTACCTATGTAATCCCTGATACTCAGAAGACTGAGGCAGGATTGTGACACAGCAAGACCTTCTCTAAATAAATTGAAAAGTGGGGGCCTTGCTCTGCCCTCAGCCATGAAGATAAATGATGTGATGCATACCAAAACACAGAATGGCGTGTTACTGCTTACTATGAGGGGCCCCGATGCTTAGGAACATTAAGTGGGAATATTGCTTCATAGAGTAATTCTATTTGATGGTATAACCAAGATTCTAAATATATACTCTTGAAAATCCTATTCAAGTTCAAAATAAATCATTCTCTATTTAAAAAACAAGCAACAGATGTGTTCAGCGTGTTAAGTTTTGCTTTCTTTACCTGTTCGCCTTGGGCTTCACGGTGCCCAGAATTGTTATCAGCATGCGAGGCATGACTCCTCCAGGCAAAGGCAGATTATAAGGCACAGTCTAAGGATGAGAACATATGTATCAATAGTCATGTTTTCTTGGGGTAAAGAAAAAGAAAGTTGGTGCTGATTCGCCGTTATTAATGTGTGTGACTAAGACATAACCCTAGTTTAAGCTATCTGTCCAGAGTCTTAGGCCACCTTGCCTGGGGCCTGAAGAAATAAAGCTCCCTTCATGCACAAATAATCATTGAGAATAAAGCCATCAGTTGATTGGTGCCAAAAGCAGAAAACATTCCCTTTTGAGTCCCATAACTCTCGTTGCTAGTGCCATCCCAATCTCTATCTCATTCACGGGCTTTTTTGGAAAGCCTTAAGCTGGACCTTGCATTCAACATGAATGTTTTTGTGCCACTCTTAGACCCTTGTCACACACCATACATCACTGTGGCTGTTCTGCAGGGCAGGTGTGTGTCACATCTGAGGCTCCTGGGTTCTCACATGCCATGTTCACATATCACCCACAGAGTGCTTTGTGGCAGATACTTGGTATTTGTGGAATGAACACTTTTTTTCTTAATACAGCTCATTTGGCAAATGTTTACTGATATTTGTGTTCATGGTGCTATGAATAAGCCCAAAGCTCTGTCTATGGCTGCTTCCCCTCCCTTTATAATGATTCCTGCTCAGTTCAACTATCATCCAATCCTTTATCCTGATGTATACTGGTTCTGCATTTCCTCCTATTCTGGATTTGCTACTAGGGCTTCAAGTCCAACAGGTGTGACCTGGAATTCTCTCCTTTCCTTCCCATTGCCCTGCCTGAGCTCCCAGTTTGAGCTAATACTTCCCTTTTGTTTTCCCTTTTTTTTTTTTTTTGGAGAGGTTTTTTTGTTCGTTTGTTTGCCATAGGGCAGGTGTGCTCACCAGACAGAGAGAGACAGCAAGAAATCACCCCCCAGGGGGGATGGCTACACCGCAATCCCTTCTCCATTCTCCTCTCGGGATCTTGGGCACGCATGCACATGCGCCCAGCATGAGTTTTAAGCCACCGGGTCCGGGACACAAACCGCAGTTGACTACGTGGGAATCCAACGACATAGCCATTATGCCAACTGCTGGTCCCACGAGTTTAAGCCACCAGGTCCGGGACTCAAACTGCGGTCGACTACATGGGAGTCCAACGACATAGCCATTATGCTAACTGCTGGTCCCAAGCTAACACTTCCCTGATAGTTGTCCAGCCTTGAATAGCCAGACTCCTCTCTGACTCCCAAGACTTAATCACTAGATCCTGGGGTTTCTTCTTTTACGATCTCTCACATCTGCCTGTTTCTTTTCACAACCTTCGTGTCCTGATCTATAACTATCTCTGGTCTAGGCTAAGCCCCTTGCCACACTCCCCCAGCTCCTCTGAGCTCTGCTCTAAGGTAACCAAAAAGAAGTCAGTGCTGCCTTGTGCCATCCTCTGCAGAGTCCTGCAGTGGTCTGATCCCGCACTGCGATTAGCCCTCCTATCTATACTTATGTCTTCCCTCCTGACTAGGCTGGAAGGGAAGGGTCTGTGATGGAGATGCCTCTGCAGCCCCCCCCACACACACACACACGCACACACAGTTATGTCTTATGTTTAGAATTCACTTACTAAAATATATTTTAATTTGCATTACAAAAATCAGTCCTGAGATCTCACAGTTATCTTTAGAAGGTTTTGGAGACAGACTGCCTTGGTTTCTTTTCACACTCTTCAGGTAAATAGTATTTACTACATACTTCCTTCTATGACCCTGGGAAAGTTATCTAACTTCTCTATGCATTTCCTCATGTGTAAACCTAGGATAATAATAGCATCTCACAGGGTGAATGGGGCTGGATAAATGAGATACTCAATGTTTATTGGTAATAACCCAAACTTCCCCCCATTACTACAGCCTTCACTGATGTAGATTAAAGCCACTCTATCAATTCATGACCTTCTCTTTACACTAACTGCACACAAAATAAATTTGATTTTTTTTTACTGGACCAACACACATGGGGACTTCAAAAAGTTCATGGAATATGGAACTAAAATATGAATTGATTTTTGGTGCAAAAAAAACCTTAAACCCATGCAGTTACACATTTTCCATGAACTTTGGAAGACCTCTCATACAACTGTGGCTCTAAGCAGTGAGTTTAATCCCCCTTCCACATCAGTTACATGAGCTGTCTTACCAGTGGTCCAGCGGGAGTGCCAAAGGGGCCCGCAGCAGGGTAGGCCCCGGGAGCACTTGGCTGTCCGGGAGGTGGGTAGGCCCCAGGCCCGCCTGGCTGCCCGGGGTAGGCTCCAGGCGCTGTAGGATAAGCCCCAGGTGCTGTTGGGCCAGGGTAGGCACCAGGAGGCCCCTGCCCAGGATAAGGCCCTGGAGGTGCCTGCCCAGGATAAGCTCCTGGAGGTGCTTGACCAGGATAAGCCCCAGGAGGTGCCTGTCCAGGGTAGGCCCCAGGGTAAGCAGCTCCTGGATAGCCCCCTGCCCCAGCAGGCTGGTTTCCCCATGGAGCAGGCCATCCTTGAGGGTTTGGGTTCCCAGGCCCAGATAAGGCATCATTAAGCTGGGGGGGAAAAAAAAAGACATAAACAATTATAAGATAGAAAAACATTTACAAAAACAGAATTTTCAGAAAAACAGGAATATGTGATCTAAGAAGTAGAATATGATAAAGGTATACAATTCGTATCAATATAAACTTTTCTGCCTATGAATAATTTTGAATTTGGGATTCTATATGCATTTTCCCTTTGTTCTTGCCTTCCGTCATCTCAGAGCAGGGGCGGGGCTGTATGTTCAGTTTGCTCCTCAGGAGCTGGCGCTTCTCTAACTACAGACACATACTTCTGTAATCAACTTGAGAAAAGCGATCACCAATATTAGGCTGCTCAGCCTGCAAGGCCTTCCCCAACGCTCAGAGGACTAATCAGTTGCCTGCTCTCTTCTGTCCTGGGCCTTAGGTAAAAGGGTTGCTGTTGGGGAGTCAGGCCTCTCCCTCTGTGTCTGGCTTTCTTCCCAAATCTGCTGCTGGAAAAACAAGACCTCAGCTAACAAGCAGTCATTGGACAGGGAGACCAGAGGAAGCCTCATGGGGAGGGAATGAGTAGGGGAAATTCTGATGGGAAAACAACCCTCAACCTATGTGGAATGTATACTAACTTTAGAAAACAGACATAAAACACTTACCGAAAAACCGTCCGCCATCTTCCTGAGAGGGGAAAAAAAAAAAAAAAAAGAGCGAGAGAGTTATCACATGACCCTAAAAGATTTCACTGACTTCCACTAAATTTTTTTCTATGAAATTTAACATCACAAATGATGCACAAAGGGGCAGTTCTATTTAGTCTCAGGCACTATGCCTAAGTCCATAGTGTGGAACCATAAAAACCGTAAGGGCCGAGGATGCTTTCCAGTTAGAATGCCAAAAGTTGTGTCACTCATAAATTTAAACTTTGATCACACTCGCCTGGGTTCTGAATCCTGAGAGTAAAAACGTACAACGGGACCAGCAGTTAGCGTAATGGCTTTGTCACTGGACTCCCATGTAGCCGACCGCGGTTCGAGTCCCCGACCTGGTGGCTTAAACTCACACCGGGCACGTGTGCGTGCGTGCCCAAGATCCTGAGAGGAGAATGGAGGAGAAGGGATTGCAGCATGGCCATCACCCCTGGGGGGGATGGGGGTGACTTCTCTGTCTCTCTGTCTTTCTGGCAAGCCCGCATGCCTGATAGCAAAAACCTCTCAAAAAAAAAAATTAAAAACGTACAACGCATGCAAGAAAGACGATGTTCTGCTCCTTCCTGAGCTAAGAAATGTAAATGGTCCTGGTTCATCTTCGGCCCTCCTACTCCTTCCTGCTCTTTCCACCATGCCTTACAGAGGGGGCGGTGTGTGCACTGCTCCCCTCCCTCCTGCTCCCACGAGCCGGCTCGGGCTTTCTTCTGGGTCTTTGGAGGACAGCTTTGCAGCTGATTCCTACTGAGATATGAAAGGCAGTGACCGCAGAGTGTCGCTGCCTGGTGATTTACTCCCTGCTTGCACACATTTATGCCTGCTCTGGGCCAGGCACTGTGCAGGCTCCTGTCTGGGTATAAAGATGAGGAGACCGGGGTCTGGAGGGCCCACGGTCCAGCAAGGGGGAGGAGACACGCCCCGGACATGTGAGGTCACAAGTGACTGATGCTGTGAGTTGGGCTGTGCCAGGGGATTCAAACACGGACAGCTGCTTTCTAAGGGGGAAGTGACGGTACTTTGGGGGCTAAGGCTTGAAGGACAAGTGAGAAAGAGACTGGTATTTTTTCCTTCTTCTTTTTTTTTTTTTTTTTTTTTTTTGTTAAAGGCACTTGTTATTTCAAATAAAATATTTGGCAGTGTAACAAAGATGAAAAAGTCAATCAGTGTGGAAGAAAATATTTTGGAATAGAATGTTGCCAAACAGGGTTGCCTTGCCCAAAAGCTGCCTCAGGGATAACGAGATATCATTCCTGCCTTCTCCTGCTAGGGCCCCAAAACAAGGGGGCTCCTGGTGAGGGGAGGACTCCTGAGGCCTGGGCAAGGTGTTTCCAAGCTCAGGCTCACCCGTGCTGTGGCCAACATGGCCTGCACCTGGAAACAGAGTCTTGTCTTTGATTTGCTGTTTGTGATATTTACTCAATCATTTTATTGGGTCATCGGAAAAATCCTAACACATTTTTGCATAGAAAAACACGTCCTTTCTTTTCCCACAACCCAATAAGAAATGACATTGTCCTCTAAGGATAGAATAAATAGTGACTACTTGAAAGGTCCAAAAATATGTAAAATATTAATTTTTTATGTGAAAACTCAAACAAGCAGAGCTCCTCCTAGGACTTAATGTATCGTTCATTGATACACATCAGATAGTTTATTTTATACCACTGTTACTTATATCATAGTCACACTTGCCTTTGACTTTTGTGTGTGTGTGTGTGCCTTAGGGAGCATGCACTCACCAGAGAGAGACAGAGAGAGAGGGAAAGGAGAAATCACCCCTCTGGGGGGATGCCAGACCACAGTCCCTTCTCCATTCTCTTGGAATACTGGGCATGCACACACACCCAGCATGATTTTCAAGCTGCCAAGTCTGGGGCTCGAACTGCACAGTTGACCATGTGGGAGATCCAGTGCCTTAACCTCCATGCTACCTGCTGGTCCCTGCACTTCATGTTCTTAACCTGGGCATTTTCAGATCTATTCAGAAGCAGATTAGGACTATGCCATCTTCCAAAGGGCAGAACTGCTGGAAGTTTGACAAGGAAGTCATAGTAATGCCCAGAACTTGCTATACCTTCCATCCATAGTGTTTCCTGTTTGCGTTAACTTTTTTTTTTTTTTTTTTGCCGTAGGATATGTGCGCTCACCCTTACCTAAGAGAGACAGAGAAGGAGGAAAAGGGAAAAAGTACCCCCAAAGTGGGATGGCCACACTGCAATCCCTTCTCCCTCCATTCTCTCAGGATTTGGGGCATGCACACACACACTCACACACACACACACCTGGCATATTTTTCAAGCTGCATGATCTAAGAATCAAACCGCGTAGTTGGCCATGTGAGATCCAGCACCTTAAAAACACCAGGCCACCTGCTGGCCCAACCTTTTCTTTTTCTTTCTTTCATGACAGAGAGAGAGAGAGACAAGCACCCTCAACAGAATCTCACACTGTGATCCTTCCCCCCAGCCTTCCCAGCCATCCTGGATCATGTGAATGCACGGGTTAGCGTGTCCAAGTTGATCTGAGCACCAAACCCCAATCTTCCACCTGGCTTCCAGCATAGTAGGGCTTTGTATTACCACTGTGCCACTGTGGCTAGGCCTTTTTTTTTTTTTTAACTTGAGAGAGGTTTTTGCTATAAGGGTGCATGTGGTCACCAGAGACAGACAGAAAGCGAAAAATCCCCCTCCAGAGGAGATAGCCACATCACAATCCCTTCTCCATTCTCCTCTCAGATCTTGGGCATGTGCACACACACACGCCAGGTGTTTTAAGTTAGTAGGTCCAGGACTTGAACCACGGTCAACTATGTGGGAGTCCAGTGATGTAACCATTATGCCATCTGCTAGTCCTAGTACTTGACCTTTTCAAGAAAGTTAAGGGCCCTTTTCTTATGCCTCCTTTCCCAAAAGGCTGGTGCGCTCTTGGGGAGGAAACTGTGCTGCTATTGGTGGAGGAACTTGACAGTTACTATCCACAAGGAAAAGGAAGGACATTTCTTACAGCAAAATAAAGCTACTCTCATTTTCGATGCCAGTAGGAAACAATTTTGAACTTCAGGGTGGGCAGAGAACTTAGCTCCTTTGCACAGTCTTCTTCCACCCCCCCAGGCAACATAACAGAGACCCAGCAGAAACTATCAGCATTCTGACTTAAGTGGAATGTCCCAGTGCATAGGAGCTAATTCTCACCCCAAGCACCCTTGGGGCCAGACCTGTGCATTGCAGGATATCTAGCAGCGTCTCTGGCTTCGATAAAGAAGGTGCTAGTAGCATATCACCCTCAGAGACAACCAAAAATGTCTGCACACATTGCTAAATATCCCCTGGGGGCAAAATCATGCTAGATTGAGAACTGTAGTTCTGGGCTAGTTTTCATGTATATGCCTACATAAATGTATACACACAGGTTAGTAAAAATAAAAAAGGGGGGGCTGGCAGGTGGCATGGTGGTTAAAGTGCTGGACTCCCACATGGCCCACCACGGTTTGAGTCCCAGACCAGGAGACTTGCTTTCTCATTTTCTCTCTCTCTTTCTCTCTCTCTCTCGTGAAATTAAAGAATAATAATGATATTTAAAAATAAAATAGATAATTCTTTAAAAATAAAAATAAAAAGGTAGTTTTGGTTGTTAAAATTAGCTAAAGTGGTACCATTTACCTCATAAAGTCCCTTTTTTTGTTTGTTTGGTTTTTGTTTATTTGTTTGCTTAAGGGTTTTTTTTCTATAGGGCTCATGCACTCGCCAAAAAGACAGAAAGCTAAAAATTGCTCCCCCCCAAGGAGGATGGCCATGCTACAATCCCTTCTACTCCACTCTCCTCTCAGGATTTTGGGCACACACACGCACGTGCCCAGCGTGAGTTTAACTGCTGGGTCTGGGACTCAAACCATGGCCGACTACTTGGGAGTCCAGTGACATAACCATTATGCCACCTGCTGCTCCCCCTGTTTGTTTGTTTTTAATGAGAGAAGGACAGTGACAAGCACCCTGACAAGTACTCACCATGCCATGGTACGGCACCCTGCCTGCTCCAGCCTCCCAGACAGCTGGGACCACAGGCATGGACCACTGTGCCTAGCACAAACAGGCTGGTCCAGGATCTGAACTGGGCCCTCCATTGCATTGCACAGCAGAATCCCACTGGCTATACCACCACCATGGCACCAGAAAATGTCTTACTAATATAACTCCTCAGGGACCAGCAGTTAGTGTAATGGCTATGGTGCTGGACTCCCATGTAGTCGACCGCGGTTCAAGTCCTGGACCCGGTGGTTTAAAACTCACGCCGGGGGGAACCAGCAGTTAGCGTAATGGCTATGTCGCTGGACTCCCACGTAGTCGACCGCGGTTCGTGTCCCGGACCTGGTGGCTTAAAACTCACGCCGGGCTCGTGTGCGTGTGCGTGCCCAAGATCCCAAGAGGAGAATGGAGGAGAAGGGATTGTGGCATGGCCATCCCCCTCGCCCCCCAGGAGAGGGAGTGATTTCTCGCTTTCTGTCTGTCTCTCTCTGTCTTTCTGGCGAGTTCATACACCCTATTGCAAAAACCTCTCCAAAAAAAAAAGTGATGGGAAAAAAATTAATGTTTTCTTTGTAAGGTTAGGAAACAGATTCAGAGAGCTAATGTGATGGCCCAAAGTCATCCCATCATGGCAGGCAGGCCAAGGGCCCAACTTTCCTGATTCCTAATTCAGGCTCCTACTTTTAACATTAAACCTCAACTCTTAGAAATGTTAAAGTTTTGTCCTTAGAAAGTGTTAACTACTTTATTGAGGAATTAATCCTCTGGCTTATTCACCCAGAACTCCATAGCATGCTTAAAGCATAAACAAATTTAAAAACAAGACGATGTTTTGGCCAGAAAACTAACAGGGTGACTCATTCAGCACACGATGACAGCGAATACAGGATGCCTTTTTGCACAGTCACTTCACTAATTATAACCACATTTTGACCAATAATGTGTACTTTTCTAAAAACTGGGTATGCATTGTGTAGATTACAAGAATTCCCATCCTCAGATCTCTTTTCTGAAACAGGTTATAACTGATA